GGCCCCTTTCTCCTCCCCGCCGCGGGCGGCCTGGGGGAGGGGCGCGGGAGGAGACCCCCGGGGCCGGCGCCCTTCGTGCCCCCTCAGTAGCCCCGCCCAGCCCGGCGCCGCCCGCCCCGCACCCGCCCGGCACCCGCGCCCGCACCTACACCCGCACCGCCCGAGGGCCGCTCGCCCGCCCCGCCCGCACCTCCCCGCCCCGGTCCGGCCCCTCCCTCCCGCCCGCCTGCCCGCCGCGCCCCGCCCGCCGCCCCCCGCCCGGCCCCTGCGCGCCGAGGTGCGCGCGCTCGCGCGTATGTGTGTGAGTGCGTGTCCTGCTCGCTCCATGTTGCCGCCTCTCCCGGTACCTGCTGCTGCTCCCGGGGCTGCGGGAAATGCGAGAGGCTGAGCCGGGGAGGAGGAACCCGAGCAGCAGCGGCGGCGGCGGCCGCGGCGGCGGCGGCGGCGGCGGCGGCGGCGGGAGGAGCCCCCCAGGAGGAGGACCGGGATCCATGTGTCTTTCCTGGTGACTAGGATGTCGTCGGAGGAGGACAAGAGCGCGGAGCAGCCGCAGCCGCCGCCACCCCCCCCCGAGGAGCCTGGAGCCCCGGCCCCGAGCCCCGCAGCCGCAGACAAAAGACCTCGGGGCCGGCCTCGCAAAGATGGCGCTTCCCCTTTCCAGAGAGCCAGAAAGAAGTAAGTTGAGTGTGAGGAAGCCAGGCCGGGAGCCAGCCGCGGCGCCGGCCCGGAGCTGTCACCGGCGCGCCCGGCCCCGCCGCCCCCGCGCGCCCCCGGCCGCCCCCGCGGGGGGGGGGGGGGGGGTCCGGGTCTGACGGCTCGCGCCGCCGCCACACTTTACTTTTTAGTTTGGCCCCGGCGCCGTGTGTTCCGGGGCTTCTGTTTCTGGGGAAATTTTTCGTCGATGCCCCTGGGCCTCGCCGGGTCGTTTAGCAGACGAGCCCGGAGCACAGCTGGGTAGTCGCCGGACGGGCTCCCGCTCGGCTCCCAGGCGCTCGGCTCCGGGACGCTCGCCGAGCTGTCAAAACGCCGCGGCCAGGTGGTCCCCCGGCCCGGTTGGGCGGGGGAGCAGGAAACGGACGCAGCCGGAGCTGCTTTTCTTTGTCAGCCGGTCGCTCCTTTAACTTTTCTCGCTCCAAAACGTCTGCTTTCGTGCTTTAATGATGCATTAGGAAGTCCTCCGACCTCTTCCCCTCCCCTCCCCCAGCCGGGCCCCGCACTGCCCAGCGCCGAGAGCACTAGTCTGTGCGGTCGCTCCGCGTAGGGGACGGAGTGCAGCAAGTTTTGGAAACGTCGCTGCCACCGCAGGCCGATCGCGAGGAGCACGTTCGTTCGGGTCCAGACGGATGTAAATGTGGCCTAACTTCCATCGGAGTAGCCACTCGCGGCTGTTACTGGGGCAGGAGTCGCTCTCGTGTGCTTCTGAGCAGGCACTAGGGCTGTGCGCCTCCGGCCATTCGCTGGTTAGAAATGTCTTTTTACAAAATGGTTATAGGACAACTTTGCCTGTGGATCCAGAAGCTCGTTTCAGTGCCGGTGAGTCGCTGAGCGCTCGTGGCTCTTGAGGCTGCTGCTGTGGAAGGTCTGTGGCCGTCTTTCGGAGTTGTAGGAAGGCGTGTATTGCTTACTCATTTCATTATATGGGCGTCTCAGGGAACTGGTGGTAGTGGAAGGGTGCACCGGGACGCCGAGGAAAGCAGCATACTTACGGATAGTCTGTTTTTGTTTTTTTGGTTGTTGTTGTTTCTTTTTTTGATGGGGTGCATTCGTTTAGTAATAGCATTGTTACATTTGGTGATACACAGTAAAAATAGTAGTGTTAACGCAAGGCAGAGAACAGGGTTGTGGGAAACCCGTGAAGCTCTGCACTGGACGTGCTCTTTTTCGCTTTGCTCTTCTTTTACTATGAACGTGATTCAGGGCCTTCGACTTGCCCTCCATATTTTATTGCCATTTCTTACCTATAGCTATGACAAATCGTGAGGGAAACAAGTACATTATTAGTTTCTTTGTGATACAAAGTTGGGGTTTATTATACCGCTTGCATTGTAATGTCTGGTATAAAATGCCATTGTTATTCCTGTATTAACTGAAATTTCGAGAAGGAAGGTGCAGTTTTAAGTAATTTTAAACTTATTTGCCACTTTTTTGGTATCCTTTAAAGGAAACATACGAAGCCATAGTAGGGTTTTAACTTGATTGCTTCCCATTTTCACTGTTTCTTGGTTTCTTTCGGAACATTAATTTGGGATTATAACATGTGTTCGATTTGCTTTTAAATTCTTACTTTAGAAAGAGTAGACCTATCTATGTTGTTCTCCTCACCCCTACACATCCAAGCGTGTGTGAGTGTGCACACTTCCCCTGAGATTGCAATGAGCTCATTTGTATTAGTGCAACTCCTGGGTGCACCAGAAGAAAGGTTGGTTTAGGGTATTGTCACTTCATTATTTTAATTTTTACCTCATATTATGAGTGGGAAAAAGGTAGCCCTTTGAGAAGTTAAAACCTTTCTGTAGAATGACACTAATATAACAGTAAAAAAAAAAAAAAAAACCTCAACACTTTGGAAAATGTTTAGAACAGATTTAAGTCATAAGAGAGTTTTTTAGGTTTGAAAACTGGTACAGCATTCCTTATAGGTAATTAAGTCTAGTGGTAACTTTGATCGTCCCAAACTTGTTAGTGAATTCTTTAAAACTAGGTGTGTCTTTTGAAGGAAATGGAATCTCCAGTCGTTTTGGAGACGTGTAAATGGAAACTAATATCTGAAATGGAAAGCAAAGAGAGGGGTTTTCAATTGTGTATCTCTGCACTGTATTAAGATACATGCAGAAAAGACCCTGTAGTTAGCTGGGTAGTGCAGACCCTGAAAGTGAAACTGATGTGAAACAAATGTAAATTAGGTTTGTAAATGTTAAAATTATGTGGAATTGTGGATACCTCAGAAATGAAAATTAATATCTTTGTGGAATGCAATGGAGATAAAGGTGTTTAAATTGTCAGTGTTATTTAGATGGTCAGTAAGTGGGTTGCTTTACCCTAGAGCAGATGCCTTATGACACTATGTTTTAAAAGTAGGTTGTGTGTTTGTTTTTGGATTAAAAAAAAGGTAACTGTGGACTAGTAACTACACATTCTTTGAGTTTAAATGTTTGAATTTTTAGTAATTAGGTAAAAATTAAGCATTTTCTTGATTTATAGTGTTAGATAATTTTTGTGTTTTATCACATGTGAAAAGCATATGTGGTTACTGGTTTTACATTAACTATTATTACTTTAAAGTTATATTTACAACCTAAAATCAGGAATTTTGCACTGAAGGTCTTAATCTTAGAGGCAGAGTTTGAAGCGTAGGTATGTAAATAGGGAAATATCAAGTGGAACAGTGAAATTGGCACATGTCTAAAAGTTCTCTTGCACAGTAAGGACTGCCTATTACTTAGTCTTTATCAGAGGTGCAGGTCTTCCCATTGGTGCAGAAGCTCCTGCTGCAGGGCAGGCACGTACCAGAGGTTGGAGTTATTTTTCTATTAAGGTGAAGGAAACCCTTCCTGAAACTTTGATTTTCTGTTTTCTTCCTTAGAGTATACACCCACATTACTAAGTTGGGAAGCCAAGTGGAGATTCTGCCATATTTCTTACCACGTGAACAGAGTTGATGTCCAGGCTAGGTGGTGTGGGGATGGCACAGAAGCGGCAGGTGGTGGGGATAGGGTCTCTGGGGCGCTACCCTTGACTCTCTTTGAATCAACTCTTGATACCCTGAACCACTTTCTTTTCAGAGGTCAATTACTGTTATTAGAAAGTCACCTTGAGGGACTTTCTGAGGTGGCGCAGTGGTTAAGAATCCGCCTGCCAGTGCAGGGGACACGGGTTCGAGCCCTGGTCCGGGAAGATCCCACATGCCGTGGAGCAGCTAAGCCCGTGCGTCACAAGTACTGAGCCCGCGTGCCACAACTACTGAGCCTGCACGCCTAGAGCCTTTGCTCCACAACAAGAGAAGCCACTGCAATGAGAAGCCCGCTCGCCGCAACTAGAGAAAGCCCACGCGCAGCAACGAAGATTCAGTGCAGCCTAAATAAATAAATAAGCTTATTAAAAAAAAAAAAAAGAAAGTCACCTTGAGCATTACTGTAGAAAAAATTAGGTACAACCAGTGATGTCATAAGGGACCAGCAAAAAATGGCTCTGCTGCAGGGGACTATTGCTGTTCTATACTTTTAAGCATTCCCTGCCCGCCCCCCTCATTTCCATGGCTGTCAACTTGAAATCAGTGAAACAAACAAAAAAAGTGTATTGCATTATAATATATGCAGTTTCATATAGTTGAGACATCACTATTATTTGTGCTTTTTGAGATGATGCAAATTTGTAATTTTTATTATATTCTTATTTTTCAAGAAATTAGATGCATCTGCAGGGAAATTTTCAGTAATCACTGGTCTCTAGCATTTAATGGGCACTGAAATGTTTTAATTTACCTGAAAAGCTGGTCCTGGAATGGCAGCCTCTCTTATCTGTTAGGTGGCCTCATTGTAGTTTGCTTTTGTCCTGTTGTTGGTCTTCCCCATGGACTGTCTAGTCTTTGAAAATATGATATTTTTACTGTAAAATACAAATTATATTTGGTATAATGTTATTAATATGTAAACTTGATAAACATGGATTTCCATGTAAATTTAACTGTATCACAACAGTTTATTTTCTCATTTTGAAAATAGTGGTTTAGTACATTTTCCTATTATCAGTTAATTCTTTTTTTAATAAATTAATTAACACACACACTTATTGGAAAGTTTATTCAGTATCAGCCAAAAATTATGTTCAGGGGCTTCCTTAGTGCTCCAGTGGTTAAGACTCCATGCTTCCAATGCAGGGGGCGTGGGTTCGATCCCTGGTCAGGGAACTTAGATCCCACATGCTGTGGGGCACGGCCATAAAAAAACAGAAACAAAAAATAAAATAAAAAGTATGTTCAGTCCAGATGTCTCATAGATTAAAAACTATATCAAATCCTATCAAGGGTTTCATACACCTCCCCACCAGGTGAGAGCAGAGAGAGAGTATCTAAAGCTCTCCATAACTAAAAACTGACTGTTTCCACTTTGGAAGATCAGTGAAGTTTCATGGAAGCCCCTCAATCATAACCGTAAGTGCCTTAAGAATACAAGGTTGCGGGCTTCGCCTGGTGGCGCAGTGGTTGAGAGCCCGCCTGCCGATGCAGGGGACACGGGTTCGTGCCCCGGTCCGGGAAGATCCCACATGCCGCGGAGCGGCTGGGCCCGTGAGCCACGGCCGCTGAGCCTGCGTGTCCGGAGCCTGTGCTCCGCAACGGGAGAGGCCTGCGTACCACAAAAAAAAAAAAAAAGAAAAAAGAAAAAAGAATACAAGGTTGGACAATCACTGTCTGCCCGGAGGAAATATGAGTGTGGCCTGGGGAATAAGATGCAGTTTTGCAGAAAGTTGAGGGAGAAGGGGAGAGTTAGAGCAGTGTGTCTTGTCACCCTGCAGTGACTACAAATCTGTCATGGTAGAATTAACTGATAAGGGACTTCTCTGGTGGCACAGTGGTTAAGAATATACCCGCCAATGCAGGGGACACAGGTTCGATCGTGTCCTTTTTTTCTTTTCTCATTGTTTTGGGGCATCTTTTAATTTCAACAAGATGATTAATC